ACAAGACGAACTCGGATAAACTCAGCATCATTCACTATATTGTCAGCTCTAAAGTATTTCAAATATTCAGCTATCTCCTCCGCAGAACCAAATTGTGACATGGATGATGGTGTCAAAGGAGTTGATAAGCCTGTTCCTCGCTGCAAGAAAAATACACAGCAGCATCTAAGATAGGATGAATACAGGAAGTAAAACACCAGTGTACAGGATGTCCAAGAATTCATGCCTGGTCCATCAAAATAACACGGAATTCTTCACATGTTTTATGTATCCATCCACTCGCCTCAGTCGGCCTTGGGCACTCGAAACCCGGCCCTCCTTGTAGATATAATAGGTATGGCAGCAGTTGTTCTTCTTTCCCAACTACAGCAAACAATTTGAATGCATAACTAAAAGTAATTTATGGTACATGGAGTAAAAAAGAAAACAAGATGATACATAATCTAATAAGAAAGAAACAATTCGTAAGCGATCCAAGAAAGCCACATTTTCACAATCAGCCCGAAAGTTCATGTATCGAGGTCATCGGACACAGTTAAAGTGCTGGCACAATCTGATCTCAGATTAAAAGATCAGATTTGCAATTGAAACTGACAACAAGGGTGTCTAGATTTTCTAACAAGAGCATGAAAGTCAATTAAAATTAAGCATATGAACAACAACAACAACAACAATGCACTTCCATTTTTACAAAATCCCTCATTCCTGTTTTCTTGCAGAGAAAATGCATGCAACGTGATTAAAGTCTCTAATCCTATAAAAAAGTATTATATGGTTCGGTTGACTTTAGCACTCGTATAAATTATAAATGCATCTCAAATAAATCAAATTCATGATCAACCATCAATCAGTAGTTTTTCTAATTGAGATAAGTCTTAAGTACCGGAAACGACTTCGCGAGCGAAAACGGAGATTTTAAGAGAAGCATTGCGATCGATGGAATAATCGAGAGGGACAGTGAATCGGTGATCGCGAAGGCGGAGGTCCGGCACCGAGTACCATGTTCCGGCGACGTGATCCGGCGTAGAGTCGGCGAGGGAGCTAGTTTCATACATGGCGGGGGAAGTACGGAATAAGGTCGGGCTAATTTTAGAGACTGGAAGTGGCGGAAAAGCACGAGTAGAAAAGGCAAAGGAAGTAAAATGGTTTTAACAAGGAGGTGGCGCGTGAGTTAGCATTTTGCAGGGAGGCGATTCGTCTTTTAAGTACACGTGTGATGAGATGCGTCAAAGGAGATATTTTGGATGATCTGAGACGTTGGATGGAGAGACTTTAGTTAAGGTCAAAACTTTACCTGTCTCTGTTTTGCGCATGTGTGTAGATTGTAGAAAACACGCACGACGATGAGATATGACAAGTGACAAGGGATGGAATAATATATAATATTTGAAGTTCGGTTACCGCTGTTTTCTTTTTAGCTAAAACG